AATACGGATACATTGTGATTAAATATGTTGTAATTGATAGGTGAACAAATTCGTCTTAGATAACTGCTTTCTTTAATTTATGAAATGTTATCATTATCGTTCAGTATTATTCAAAGTATTTGCTTCATTTACTAGGACTTGTGAATTGAATGGTTCAAGATTATGCTTAATTTAGTATGTTGCTTAGATTAATTATGTTGTTTAATAAATTCAAGTGACAATATGACAAGCTGAATCATCAGATCAAATGTATAAGAATATAGAGATGGTAAGAAGTGTGAAATATGTGTGGTGTAGAGAGATGAGATCATCGATTGTTCTGGCAAACTGACTGATTTGATAATCAATAGTGATGTATTTGGGTTAATGTGGTTATTAATCGTTCGCTGAATTATCGAATCAGTTTATGTGTAGTTCATAAATTTAATACAGTAAGTAGATAAATAGACATACATACAGTGCATAAAATGTATATAGATAGAAGTTAATAACTAATCACGCAAGCATATAAAAAATAATGAATTAGACGAATATAGCACGTTTAGGTTACATAATTATTTTAACTTGCATCATGCAACCCTGTATGGTATTGTTGTTAATTTGTTTAAGAGTATACTTATTACCTTACAGGTGAATAGTATGATCAGTTCGAGAATTTGTCAAGATTGTTGAGTGCAATTCAGATCACGTACCGTCCTGAGTTAAAGAACCATTTAAAATTAAGATGCACTGGACAGGTGTTTCACCATAATATGGGATTGTTCAGAAGTGCTCATCCATAACCCCGATGGATGCAGAACCCAGGATCTCCAGTTTTCACAGAGAAAGTTAAACCCTCAAACCATTGAGTCGCCATTCAGTGGTTTACAAGTCTAATTTTAATCATATATAACGCTACTGTAGGGTGAATCCAGGTTTCAAGTTCATGACCAAAGTAGTTGGAAAACCTCAACTCAAAACATATCACTGTGTAATCAATATCATCCATTAGGATTAAAATTCAATGATTTATTCACGGAATTGAAAACTCAACAATGTCAATATGGTTTTCTTTTTCAATAACTATCGAATATTTCCTATTTACTAACAGGAAGATTTTTAAAGAACATGACTCGTGGTTTTTTTATCTTGTTCTCCCAACGGAGCTGCCTTAATATATTTTCACCTTACGGCACAGGATTCACAGTTAATGCAAGAAGGACATCTGAAGAAATTTCAATAAATAAGATGCCACAACTTAGGAGATAATTACCTACTCCCTAATTATTCTTAGGAAATCCAAAATCCGCCTTCATTAAATATTTTATTAACTTCAGATTTCAATTTTCCGGAAGTTGTTTAGCAACTTTTAAAATATTCCTCCAAATCTGTAATGATCTCACTTTGTTTTTCAAAGAAATACTGTATATCTCATATTTTTACTTTGAACTACTGTTTGTAGCTGTTCTCAACGCTTGTTCTATACAATAACTTGAAGTCGTTTCAATTCACATAAAATTAATGTTTGAAAACGATATGTGTAACTTTCTGCTTTTCTTGTGATGTGAGTTGTTTGGGTAATTATTTTTTTCCTATAATAGTGGTGGGACTATTATGTAAATGTGAAAAATATTCAAAATAGATAATCTTCTCATTTTGGAACATCTTACAGATTCTGGTCACTTTGCCACACCAGAATTATTCTTCAAAGTCATCAAAATACTCAAACCAATGGAATTAAAGCTAGCGAAAATCATAACCTGTAGATTTTATGTGTTATATTTCTCTTGCATATCTATTATGTGGACGATTGTTTCACATATTTCTGTTATGGATATTATTTTCATCCTTCTACTTTTCTTCAATCTTTAGACCTATAAACAACCCTATTGTGATTCTGAAAATTTCCAAACAATCAACTACCTAATCTATTTTGGTTTTTGTAATAGACTATGTTTGCTAAATAGACATAAGTGAGACTGTAAATCTTTGTTACAGAATATCGTTGTAATAGAAATTTTCTTTGCTAAATTTTTATTTCTTCTTAAAATTATATTGATAGAATAATAAGAGATCCTAGTCTCCAGTCGTTGTGTTAATGCTTCTAACAATATCACTGGCAAAGCAGGTTGTAATTTTACCAATTGTTACATGTTTTGTCCCGACAAGAGTAATGAATGGTAACTTTTGGAATCTATTGATGGATCAATACTAAACGTATATTTCTATTGTATAATTATTAAGTAACTAAACTATGCATATTCATATTCCTCTTATTATAAGTTTATTTTGACCCATAACCTATTATTATTATACGTTTTACCATTCTCGAGTTATACCCAGTACATTAATTACTACCTCCCTCATTCATAGACACATTTGGCCAAATCTTGTACAAATGTTGTTTCATATTTTATTGGTACGTTGTGGTCTGTTTGATTGGTATATAAACTCAGTATGTTTGAAATATAATGATTCATATTACATAGGCTGAGACTGGTGTTCTGGACTTAACTGGCTGGGCTAGACGGAAAGTAGGGCCAATAAGGACTCTAGGCTGCTTGCACGTGTTTCACGCGTCCTTGGTTCGATCGATAACTCTCTGCTTCTGGTTTGGCGCTTTGGGCCATAACACTACATATCTAACCAGAGCGGTGTTCTAGAATTTATCTAAGCCCACTGAAATAATCGCTTGAGAATACATTTTGTTATAAAACTTTATACTACTAATGATTTGTAAGTACTTGAATAAAATCATGATTAGTTTACGAATAAACTACTATCATCGAGGTTTCAATGTCGTTCATAACAGTAGGATAAATGTTTTGATAAATACTAATCACATGATCGCCAAGAAGTAAAGTAGCACCATTCAAAGGAAGACGTACACTACTGTATTAAACTTGACAGTCTATACTGGGGCCTTCATAATTACATGATAAATAAAAGGCTATTTATGCTTACTGAAATGATCGAAAATATTATAACTTGTTTCTCATTAGTGCAAGATTCTTGTAATGATTCATTCAGTTCAAAGACGATCCTATTGTAACTGTTAGGTTAAGATACTTTTTCTAAGAGCAGATGAGATAGTTGGCTCGTTAAGAATAAAGTAAATGTTTGTTGTCGAAATTTTATCATCAATAATCTTTATTTACTTGAAAAGGTATTATTCATAGAAGTTTGAACCAATATTAGTCTGTGAATAACTGTCATGCTTAGGTATCCGTTGAGGATTTATAAAACCACCTAGTGCTACCTGATATTTATTGATCCCTCGGTTACTAAAACCTGGTGATGAACACGCTTAAATTGTACACACATCAACATTAATATAAATGTATACATTGAAAATGTGATTTGTTTTATTCTCTGTATAAACAATATTTATCACATTTGAAGGGTTTTTATTATAGTGCTCAATAAATAGCTTGGTAAGTTTCGTGGAAATAATGAATATTAAGTCGATTTTTTTGTTTGCTTTACGAAAATCTGTCGATTACTTCTAATAGTACTGTAGTTAATTCGATAGTTAATAAGACTAGTAGAAGTTTCTGACACGTCCCTGAGCTTTCAAATCATTGACTGAATGGTAAATTTGTTTTTAGTGAGTTCTTTAAAAAATATTTTCGGAGATCTTAACTTGGACAAGATTTTCAGAAATGGATTTGATGTTAGGTGATGAATGTAGGAGGGTTACCATTTAATTTCCAGGTAAGTCCTACTCACTGCCTTCTCGCAGCAATGGTGTTGTTTACGAAATTGAGAGGACAAAAAGTGAATGTTCGGCGCTTTAACCGGGTTGGTGGACACGGAAAGTCCACTTAGGGAAGTTGGAAAACCTTGATTCCAAACCAATGGTGCACATGGGCTCCAGTATCCTGAGGAGACACATTGCATATGAACCAATCGTTTGTCACTGGCTACCATGGGACTGCATCTCCTAACGATGCTCCATCAGATTGTGGACCAGACCTTTAGGTCGAAGGCTCCGGGTGTGGCCCCCTAAGAAAATCACCTGCTTCGGTGTGGGCACTCGGGCAGTATCACAGCCCACACACAAATCAAATGAGATTTATGTGGTGCATATGTATTCGGCGCCCTTTCGTACCAATATGTATGTGTTCAAATAAATCACTAAATAATCCTAGCGTTATATTCATCCTGATTTTGATCATTTACAAGAAAGAGTAAATTACTTTTACGTTTTTTAAATGTTTTGTTTTTGTTGTTGAGTAGGTTAGGTTCACAAAAACGGATGGAACATTTTTTTAAAGTCAACATAATCAATGAAATATTAATTAAGTAATCAGTTGGAATTATAGATTCTATTCCATAAACAGGTTAAGGATAAGGAAATAATTATTTACTATATTTTTTTGGTTTCTAATGATAATTTCATGTGATATCAGTTTAGAACAGAATATCAATTAATATGATAAATTATTTATACTTTTCCACATGATAAAAAGTACAAGAAGGTGAACAGGAAAAATTCTAAAAAAAAAACATACAATAAGCGTTAATTAACTGTGATCAGTCTAGTAAGGTTTGGATGGACACATACATTAATGTAGGAATTAATTGGAAATTACTAAACCATTTAAATCATCATTCTTTTTTTTTTTGCATAAACTATTAATCAATCGATTGTTTGTAGATACATAAATAAATCAACAAAAGGATAGAAAAGATTACATCATAAAGTGATTCAAGACTCTAATTATCAAACAAGGTTACATAATATTCAGAGAGTTAGATAAGAATCCCTTGATTACTACGTAACCTTGTTTGATAATTGGAGTTTTAAATAGATAAGAATTAAACATTAGTACAACAGCTGAATGTAGTAGATTCATAAATAGATAACTGAAAAGAGGAAAAAAGAAAAAAATTCTGATTGGATACGAACAAAAATATCTGTGTATACATTGATGAATGAGAATGTGAAAGTTGTATCTATATAACATAAAAATATCAAAATTTTAGATACTCTATGGATTGTCATATAGTTAGACGATTCAAGAATACTTTGTCAGAAAAGATGTATGAAATTCTTTTAAATAGTTCATGACCAGTTTCATTTCTTCAATACTAGGGAGAATTGTTATTCTGTAAAACAAAACAAAAAGTATTTCAACTATGGTAATCATAACCTGTTTCTGAGTCACATGGATTATGATTTTTTAAAATGTCAAAATCAAAGAAGGTAAACATTACTGATTCCTAAAAAAAAGTCAGCGAAAATAAGATGTTGATAAAACAATTTCATTGTGGTTTGAGATAAACGAACCTCAAATATATTTCGGATACAGGAACGTGGATTATACGATTTCCGAATTTCTAATACTTTATTAACTAAAATGAGTTTCGAATTGGAACATTTACTAAAGCCTTTGTAAGTTTTCAACAGTCAGTCAGTCAGTAACAACGTAGAACTTCGTACGTACGTACATCAGTTCGAGTTGCCACACCACCTTAGCACAGAGATGCAGTGGTCGATTCAAATCCCATCGTGGTAGAGGTAATAAGAGTATAAGCAGTAATCGGGAAGATTAGGGTTTGGAGATGTTATTTAAAGAGCATAATCCAGTGAAACAAATTTGGAAAGAGGAAAAAAGGGACATGAAGAATTCAGAATATTAGAATTTGGGAGAACACAAAGAGTGGATGCACCTGCGCCATTGCAAACGATTTTGAGCCATGTCATTCAGGGTCTCTAACCATCGGTTGCTGTCATCTCGTGGTCCCCAACCAGGTAGTCTGCACCTACCAACATGGCTCAGTCCACTTGTCAGTGACTTCATGGACTTGTGCCATGTTTTGGTTTGGCCGCCCCTAGCTTTCTTCCAACATACTCCTATACCACTGAACATAGCACGTCAAGGTAGTCGGTCGTTGGGCATACGTAACACGTGTCCCAGCCATCTCAACTGATGAAGTTTCACTACTTCATCAATTGATTTGCCATCCTTACCTAGTACCCGTTTCCTAACAACTGTGTTACTTACTCGATGGTCCCATGATATACGAGCAATGTTCCGAAGACACCTAAGATCGAATACTAGTAACCTACGAATATCCTCTACTCTTACCGGCCATGTTTCACTGCCATAAAGTAGGACGGGACGAACTGCTACACAGTAAACCCGTCCTTTGGTTGATAGACGGATATCTCGCCTACGCCATAAATGACGCAAGTTGGCAAAAGCTAGTCGAGCCTTCTGTATCCGTGCTGAGATTTCGTCACACATCAGACCACAAGGGCTGATGAGACTTCCAAGATAAGTAAAGCGGTCGACACACTCAACTACTTCACTCCCAATCACTAGTTCGGGTGTCGATGTAACCCAATCCTGAAGCAACATTTTGCATTTCGAAGGGGAGAATCGCATCCCGAACATGCTTGCATTGTTGCTTAGAATGGTGATTGTCACAAGAGGACTTTCGTCCTTTCTTATAGACTGGCACAATCATTGATTGAGACCAGTCAGATGGGATTACGTCCAGTTCCCAAATTCTACCTAAGACCTCGGTTAATCTCATTGCTAATACTGGACAACCATCCTTAAAAATCTCAGGAGTAAACCTGTCAGGGCCTGCTGCTCTCCCTCGTTTCAGATTTCCTATGGCTTTTTCAACTTCATAAAGAGACGGAGGACCTACACTAATTTGCCATTCAGGTTGACTAGAGATCGTGGGAAACCGAAGTGTGGCTGAAGGCCAGTTGAACTAATCCCTAAACTGTTCTGCCTATCGATCGATCCAATCTCCTGGATTGAGAATGAATAATATGTCCATCTTTCTCTGAGATTGTTTCGCTAACGGTCGGGTTCCTAATTCCGGTTTCCTTAACGAGTCTGAAGAATTGTCTGCTATTACCTATTGCCGCTGCCTTTTCCATCTCTCTTGCTTTCGCTACCCACCACTGTTCGCGATCATTGCGTAAGCTTTTTTTCAGCTTACGCTTGAGCTGACTCCGCTCTTTATTATGTTCAGAGCCAGGTGGAATGAGTTTCCGAGCATCTATCAGTGCGATAGATGCTGATGAGATCCAGTGTTGCTCCCTAACCTTCTGGTTTACCTTACTAGCAGATATCACTGCTGTTTCCACAGCTTTTCGGATATCATTCCATGCTGCCTCAGGGTGGGCATCACTTACATGGCTGCCTTACTGTTTTTCTAGTTGTTCATGAAATATACTCTTAGCTTGACTATCATTAAGTAGGACCCTAAGAGGTTTCGTTGCAGCGTCTTTCCTATGTCCAGTAAGACGCAAGCAAATACGCGCTCGCACTAGAGCACGATCTGAATCTAAGCATGTGCTCCAGAATGAGCGACAGTCTTCTATCGAGCCCCCCATCGGTGGCTGATAGCGATGTGATCTATTTGGGTCCAACGTTGGGACGAATTAGGGGGTCACCATGTTAAAAGATGTTTTTCCTTATGCTTAAAGTTAGTATTTGCAAGGAACAGGCGGTTATCTTAGCATAGCTGCAACAGACGGTCGCCATTATCTGTTCTTTGAGCCACGACACCATATGATCCACCTAGGTGTCTTTCCCTATCGCTTAGTTTACCTAATTGAGCATTAAAGTCACCGGCCACTATTACTACATCAGAGCGCCTAGCTTTTCGGAGAAGGTCCGAATGCTTTCTGTAAAACTCATCTTTTACATCATCTGCGCTGCAGTCAGTGGGAGGATAGGCAGAGACGACGAAGAGGCAACGACGAGTGTCCCTATCTTTCCGGATCCTTACTGTTCCGTTTAGTCGGACAGCGCGCAAACGGCTGTCTACTGGGATCCAGTCTAAGAGAGCTAGTTATGCCCTACGACTCAATACTATACCTACGCCGGCGAGGCCACGGGAAGCAGAATCAGGGCTTCCAGATACACGAAGCGTAAATCGAGTCTGTTCTTTATTTCGGCATGGTGAGGTCAAATGAATGATGCTACTCGGATCCTGTATGCGCGTTTCGGAGACTCAGCACACATCAATGGCGCGAGATTCTAAAGTCCTAGCTAAGGAAGCCTGCTGTCCTATTTGGCAAAATGTTCGTACGTTAAAAGCTCCTACGTGTAGTTTAGAGCGTGGTTTCAGGAGACCAGGGATAGCGTTCCTCGTACTCGAATCGTTTGCCCTAGCGGTGCGAGGTGATAAAGAAACGTGAGGAGGGTTAGTCATGGAGATAAGAGAGGTATTAGGAGATGTAGGAAGGATTTGAATGTGACCAACTTGGTCTCATGTGCTGTTACGGGTATGAGGGCTGATGTCACTTCCCGGCTGCCCACACCGTGGAAGGGTATTTCTCGAGGAACCTAAAAAGGAAATTGGATTAGTGTTGGTCTCGACGACCTGGGAGCATGACCGCAGAGCCCAAGGGACAACTGCTTGAGGCCGGTCGCGCACAGCCTTTTTGTGGAAGGTTTTTGGCGTGTTAGCTTCGTTCTTCAAAGGGCCTTACCGCCGGAGACGGAAATCCGTGAGGTCAGGTGAGGTGTGACATTTTTAGGGTCGACCTTTTCTAACCCCACCCCTCCTTATGGGAAGGCAGCATCGCTGTCATGCTGGTTGTCCGAGGGAAACACCTTACTGCTGTCACACCTCTCTACAGTCAGCAGTACGACTTCGCCCTCAGACCTTGAGTTGCTGCTTTTAGTCTTACCGTTCACCAATCGACCTGCCTGGCATGGTAGAACCTACAGGAACATATGTTCCAGCCAATATAGCTCGGTTGGGTCATCACGATAGGCAAGCCGGATCACCGCGTCAAGATAGCAGCTTCGGTCGGGGAGTTTTCAACAACTCTATTATTAACTGATTACGAAAGGATTTATTCTCCATAAAACCATATAACTTATTAGAAAATGAACAAATTTTAAATTGGGTTTGCAATGATAAATAGATGACTAGGTGATTAGGTTGTAGGTATTGTGAATTCAACCATGATATCAAACAATTGATATATATAGTTTGAATGTGGTAGATTATTGTTTTTTACTTTTGGAGGAGATAAATCTGCCGTTAAATTCGGATTTCAATTTGAAATGGAACTGTTTGCTTTGTATAACCCTACTCGTAAACATTAAAAAAGAAAGATATATAAGCACCCAGCCCATCTAGAAAAAAAACGATTTAATGAACTGCAACTGTGGTGATTTCAAAATCACAAATCTACCGTATGACGAAAAATCAGTTAAGCTAAACCTACTTTCCTTATCACACAGAACGAGAAGAGGTAACAGTTAGTCTTTGAGTAACTTAACAATACCTTTGGATCTGCTATGCCATCCTTTTTGCTATGACTTTATATTCGGCTAGTTATCACGTGATTTATCCACCAATCAAAATACGACTTATACAATCTTAGCACTGTGCTAAACCAATGACGTTCGATCGGCATGAGCAGACTAGCGTCCTTATTGATTCTATGTCCGCCTAGCCCGTCCACTTGAGTCCAGAACACCAACACCAGCTCCCACTATGCGAATCGAATCATTTATTTTAGACATACTGGGTTTATATATCAACAAGACAGACCGCAACGCACCATAAAATAGGGAATAACATTTGTACATAATAAAGCCAAAAAGCGGCTGTAAACGTGGGAGGTAGTAGTTAATGAACTGAACATAGCTTACGAACAGTAAATCGTGCAATAATAAATTATAGATCAAAATGAAGCTTATAAAAATAGGAAATATAAATATACATAATATAATTATTAATAGTTATACCATAAGAATATATAGATAATATTAGTCAATTAATATGTCTCAGAAGTTACTCGTGATTCAATCTTCGCTCGGACATAACACTTTTTCCTAACTTTCGGAACACAAAATTTACGGAGGCACTAAAACAATGCACAAGGCAAGAACTAAATACGTATCATTTTGACTAGCAACTTTTCCATCGAACGATCAAAAAGTTGAACTGCTTGTCAAAATACTTGATTATGTCCACTTCTGTATATGGATTTAGATAAAAGTTGGATTGACTGGGACACCTCGGTATCTAGAACTTAAGTAAATCTTTCAGTCGTCTGTCCCATTCAGACTAAAATTAAATGACTTGGTAAGACTGCTTTGCATTATGTTTATAACGTCAACCATGTTAATATACTTTTGGTTTATTCCAGCTGTCCAACTCCATATAGTCGAGTTCTAGGAAGTTTCAAGGTGAAGGATGTAAATGAATATTTGCAAATTGGTTTACCTAAAATGCCAAGTTCCTGGTACTTGACCGAATCCAGATCCTGGTACTACACAGACGCCATATTCTTCCAAAAATTCCAAACAGTACATAAAGTCTGGTTGCATACCTTTCGACTGAAAAAAATTGTTTAAGACAACATCGATAAACAACCAGAATTAAATTTCACAAGTTATGTCAAGGTACATTGACTAGCTGGAAAAAAGAAAAAAATTAAGCGATTTTTTTATTTGATAAACCGTTCATCATTTTACGAAATCGATGACTTGAAGTTGTAAATAAGATTACTGAAAATCTACTAGTCGAAGTCATTAAAGTAGAAAGATAAATTAAATGTCTAGAGATTCTATGAAACACTATTAAATTAAATTTGCATTTACATAACATGACGCCATAAACTATAAGAGTGGTGTGTTAAATGAGCATCTATTGACATATCACGAATTCAATGATAGAGGTGAGGATCTTAGAGATTATTCAACGCAAAATGGCTCTAAAAACAAATTGGCTAAAATCTGTGATTTTCTTTTGAGAATAATGAAACTTATCTTGGCTATCTTTGTAGTCGGACCATATTTCTTGTTTCACATTAATGTTTTCAGTTTTTGGTTTTTCTTTTACAAAATTGTCACCTAAACTAAGTTTTTTATCTGTTATATTTCTATAGTAATATTGGGACAATCGATTGTATTCTTTTAATATTTAAATAAAATATAGTAAGCTGAATGGTTTGAAGTTATCATTTATTTTAAGAGCAGCATCATAAAAGCAAAGACAATGCACAAGTACTTATGTTTTCAGTCATGGAATACAAGCAGAATGTAAACCATAAGAAAACAAATTCATACAGGAATGAGTGATCTGTATGAAAGATATTCTGTGCATTAAATACTTTGCTAGCGTACGAATATACTAATATTTAATTTAAGGGCGACTTAGCAGTCGAGTATATTATCATGTTGTCCACTCGAAGTCACATTGATGGGCTATTGATACTAATTAATTGTCCAAATTGAAGTAGGTGAAATGGAGTTCGAATCAACAACTTAATGGTTAAAGGTTCAATGGTATAATCACTTGACTAAAAATGTAAACATTTCAAACGAGTAATTGATCATCATATAAATAAAATCAAATTACACCTTCAATATTTAAGTTGAAATACCGCAACGTACTTCAGTTCTACAGGAGATAGATCATACTAAATGGTTTATCAACATGTCTGAACTATATTATTTAGTACATTACAAAAAGAACAGTGTAAATGTTATGATTTCAACAAAATAGAATTATTATAAAGTAATCTTTGGTTAATAATAAAAGTATTAGTTAGTATTTAAACTAGGTTAAACTTGATTAGTAGTTTGTATTGGACAACAAATATTTGAATTTGATAGGATTTATGTTATCTGGTTGCAAGTTATAAGTCAAAACATATAACAGTTGCACAGTAGACCCTGTAACTCTCCATCATGCACTAAATGAGCGCTAAAAACTTATGGAATAAGTGTTGTTTCACTGAAAGTGGGTTACTCATATTATATTTTATTTATGAATTAGTTAATTAGTGGATTTTGTTAGTTGAAAGACTTGAGTAAGCGTCGAAAATATCGATACTAGCGCTCCTCAATCACTATCCAATTTAATTTAGTTTGACTTATTGTGTAAATCATTTAACAAAGTCTCTGTACAGTTTAGAATCTAGAATGAATTTTTTTTAAACAAATTCATTCTGCTTACAATAATTAAGAATATTTTTTCTGCAAGCCAAACTGTGTGAACCTAAACATTACATTAAGTAGATTACTTTTATTTGTATGTACAGGTTTGGTTTTTAAAGTTCAGTTTCGAGTCTAGCTATAAACTTATCTTTGCATGAAGGATCATTTATTACAATAATACGCTTGGAGACTTGCTATAAGGTTCTAACTATTTCCATCTAAGCGTTGTTGTAACATACGCTTTAGTAACTCCAGTCCTCTCTTGCTTAATGCGGCTCTAATACACTGTATCCAATCAATATGTATTTTTATAACAATACATATGAACCAATTATAATCTTTTCATTGAAAAAAATGGGAACGTTTCAGAGAGGAAAATTTTATTTTTGACATCATTTTCTAAAGTTGTACATTCGTATTTGTAGGTACCTTTTCTACACATAGTATCCACGATATTGCGCGACCGTCTACTATTGTCTTCAGTGAGTAACTGCCTCACAACAGACACGGTTGAATTCTACTGGTCACAGCTTCTCACTAGAACTCCAGGAAATCCATCTTTAAGTTAGTTACTAGTGAGCACATGATAATTGTCAGTACAGGTTTGTGCAAATTGTTGAGTTTTGATTGAGATGAGTGTTTCCGTCCAGTGCTTCCAGATTTTTTATGATGGTTTAGCTTTAACGGACTCATGAATTCAACTATTAAATTACTATAAAAAGGGCTGTACCAGTCTTCAATTTACTTCAGACTATCAAGTCCAACCTTGGCACTGATACCTACAAACCATCGTAAACTAATGGGATAAAAACAATTTTACAGTTGAATTTGAGTCAATTAAAGGTAAACCCCCATGGAAAACCTGCAAGCACTGAATGGCTGTTTCGTCCTAGTATGAAACTCCTCAGCAGTGCGCACCCACGATCCCGCCTATCAGTCTCGCGCTTGAACGCTTAACCTCCACACCACTGAGATGACCGGCATCTAACGGCGTTAGTATCTAACTTCGACCAATCCACGAAATTGAGCCATCGTCCACCATCGTCTTCAGTGAGTTACTATCTCACAACAGATTTTGTTGAACTTCAATTGACTCATGAATTCAACTATAGAATTACAAAACCCTTTCTGATAATAAAAAAATGATGTATGTTTATTAACAAAATAACTCACCTTTGCTATTTCGATTGCTTTTCTAGGTAGATCAATTCGTGGAAATGCATACATTGCTCCAGTGATTGGATTACATGAAAAACCTTGAAGTGAATTTAATGATTTTGTAGTGAGTTCAGCTTTTTGTTTAAGTTCTTCTAGCACTGATGATTTTTCTTTCATAAATGAATTGTAAGATGGTTCATGAGGTTTTGGAGGATTTACAACCACATCCATTGTTAGCTAACAATTATGAAAATAAAAGCAAATATGATCAAATCGTTTGATTTAATAATTATTAATTGAGTTTACTGAAGAGGAAAGTAGATATATGTCCACAGATGAATCAGTAATTGAAGCAAACTTTTTATTGGAATTTTTGAAGCAAAATATAAATATAAGGAATGATAGTCGGTGGCTAACATTTGAATCCATGATGCATGTTTCGTTCTGTTTGTGACTCGTCGTCTACACGTAATTGTATCTCCGAGTTGATATCCACTTAAGGATTCGAACCTAGTGCTACTTTTCGAACGCCATTGCGTTATTCATTTATCTACTGAGTTTAGATAGCCACTGGCTTGTGCAACAAGGTGAAGTTTTGAATTCATGTGTTGGATTTTGGAATTTCCCCACTGATATTGAGGACCGAAATCGATCAGTTTCTTCTGGCACATCTGGACTCAGTAACTAAGTGGATATCTCGATGGCCTTTGAGATGAACGCTGCTGAGTTCGAGTTACGGAATGAACACAAACTCTGGGATAGAGGTATATCTAAATCACGAGTCCCATATAAAACGAAACGCGCTTCCTAGATTCCACTGCTAGCCACCATCCATCGATGCTTGTGACAATGTCGGAATGATCTGTAGAGGATGGACATCTGACAAAAGAGACTACTTGCCTTTCTAAACATCAATGAGAATATTCAAATAACCAATATAAATGAATTAGAAATATGAATATATAATTTCAAACAGAATATTCTAATTTCGATCACTTGAAACTATCTTAAAGTTATCACTGGTAAAATTAAATTTTTAGAAATAAAGGTGTCAGTTGGCGTATAAAGCTGTGGTATATATCATAAACTTTCAAACTGAAGAAAGTTTGACTGAATACAATCTTATAACCTGATGGTTAAAAGGCAAATGCTTTAACTATTGTATCACCTTTTCATATAGCTCCAAATTTCACCGATATGAAAACAAATATGGGAATCCGGACAGCTACAGTATTAATACTTTCAATGTAAATCTATGTATTGAAAAGGAGTATTACATTTAAAAGAGAATCTTGCGAATGTAAAATATGATACAAAGTAACCACGCTAACCAAAACAAAAATAAGGAAAATAAGCTATACTGCCGTCAGAAATTATGACGATACTTACACAAGAAACAAAATCTAGTTGATGAAAAGATTTATTTAGCAGAAAAGAATCTTATTTCTCTTGGTTTATCAAACCGGGGTGACAGTAAAAAAATCATTGATTTGTAATATGGAAAATGGTTTACTAGCTCTTTTTGATGGAGTTTTGTTCTCTGAGCTGGATCGCTTCGTCGTGGAGCTTTCATCGTTCTTCTGAACAACATCATCAGCACAAACTTCAGATAGAAGTGAAACGTTCGAATTTTTCCATATGCGTTTCACAGCTTGTTCTGTATACCTCGATGTTGATTGGTTCTTATGGACCTTAAATTTATCATTGTTTATTTCTTTGTGACATTTTATGAACCCATCTCCATCTCAGTTGTCATTTTGTCATCTTTTAAATACGTATGTAAAATGTTCTTTTGGCATAAGTCACAGACATTATTCTAACCCAACATTCCATTATAATCAAATTTGTGATTAGTTTGTCTTCTATTTCTTAAAAAAATGACCTAGAAGATCGTAAGATCTAATCATAATCAGTAAATCCTGTGTCTTACTTATTACTTATTTTACCTTGCTTATTTGATCTAGTTATTAATAGATCCTTATTGTTTTCTTTGGATCACTTAGGATCTAGTGTATTACGTGAATTTCCTGATAGAAATTGTCATAATTGAACTACTGCATCTGTGACATTAGGAACGCATTTTATTTTTTATGGATTTCATCTAGGTGGTGTCTCTCTGGAAATCATCACTTTTGGCCTTAAAACAAAAAAAATAACGCAAAAACGAATTTGTAGGTGTCCTTATTAAGGTTCGACTTGATAATTTCAAATAAATTGAACATAGGGTAGACTGTTATTAATGAAAATAATACATTTGTAATATCCCAATGTGTAGAAAAACTAGTTTTTTAGTTTTCTAACGTTTCATGACTCAGTGCAAACCACATCTTCAGAGAGTAAATAAACAAAGTAAATTAACTCAAGTTTAGATAGTACAAAGGAACAAAGCAAGAATATTTGATGCAGTCAATCAAAAACAGGTCTGACCAAGTCAATGTCATTCCGGTCAAGGTGATTTATATGAGAGATGTTTGAATAATTGTGTGTGTACTTATATCAAAGGATGAAAAAATGTGACATTTGTGGTGTGAGAGGATAGAGTAGAATTTATATGTACCATAATGGTGTGAGATGTGAATAGAATCAGACATGGTAGCTCGGGTAGATGGTTCAAGTCGGATGGATAGTGAGCCCTTCCTTTCCATTGGAGGCCGTACGATTAAGTAATATATAGAAAGCTTCAACTACTCGCCTTTCCTTGTAGTTGGAATAGCCTTCTTGTATTATTTTGGTGTTTTTAATATAGACTTGATGGTTGTTGAAAATGTCATGAAGTGATATTGTCGATTTCATTCGGAGTTCATTTTCATTCTTGTACATAAATTTAATGTGAGATAAAAATGTATAGATCAGTTTAAAAAAGATCTTAGATGAGTCTTTTTTTACAACAAAAAAAGTATCATCTACATATCTAAGTCACGAAACGTCAGAAAGTTACAAAAAATTGATTTTTTTAATCACTGGAATACTACAAATAGTTGAAACCATGAGTCAATTGAAGCTAGAACACCATGGAAAACCTCCATGCACTGGACGGCCGTTTCGTCCTAGCATGGGACTCCTCAGCAGTGAGCATCCAAAATCCCCCCGCGAGATTCGGACTCAGGACCTATCAGTCTCTCGCGCGAGCGCTTAACAATTAGACCATTGAGCCGGCATCCAACGGTGTAAATGTCTAACTTCAACCAATCCACGAAATCACGCCACCGTACACCATTGTCTTCAGTGAGCTTATATCTCACAACAGACCTGGTTGAACTTCATTGGTAACGGCTTCTCATTAGAACTCCAGGAAATGCCTCTTGAAGTCAGTCACTAGTGAGCAGATGATTATTATTCCCATTTAAATATTCATTAAAAAAAATCTGAAGAGAGTAAAGAAATTTCATTTATTTTTCATTATAACTTTATATTGATAGATATAAATGTGTTTTAGAACAATTTCAAAATGGTTATGCAAATCAAAGTATTTGTAAAAAATAAACTCTTAGATTATATAATATATGAAAAGACAATGAACAAAATATATTAGACAGACTACATATATACCAAGAAAAAAGATTGGGATACTTTCTAGACAAGGTCAAATTAAATCGATTTAGTGTGGTATGGTGTATATTATTTATATTGTATGATAAAGAATCAATAAAGACAAGTGAAATAGATCATGGTGCATAAATATATTAAACAATTGGTGGATACAGTTGGAATGTTAACATTCAGACCATATTTTTCATAATATAACACAATGGTGAATCAGTGTACTTTTCAGTTAAGTTATGAGGATATAAACAATACTCAATACAATAGTTCTTCTATGAAATCTGATTCAAATTTCATTAATGTTAGAATATTTACATAAGTAGGCAGAAGGGTATTTATTTATTTATTTATTTGAACACATAATTTTTTGTATAAATGGGCACCGAATACATATGCGCTACACAAGTCACTTGATTTGTGTGTGGGGTGTGATACTGCCCGGGTGTCCACACCGAAGCAAGTGGTTTCCCTAGGGGATCACTCCCCAGACCTTCGACCTGAAGGTCTAATCCACAAGGTAGTGGGGCAACGTCAGGAGATGCAGTACCATGGTAGTCGCTCATCAACAATTGGTTCATACGCCATGTGTCCCCTCAGGATGCTGGAGCCCATGTGTACCATTGGGTTTTCAAACTCCTCTAGGTGGATCCGCCATGTCCACCAACCTGGTTAAAGCGCTAGACATTCGCTTTTTGTCACCTCAATTTCGTAAACAACACTCCCGCTGCGAGAAAGCAGTGGGTAGGACTTCCCTGGTAATGGCTGTATACGCGTGGTCATGTGAGAGCATTTCGAAAGGAAGAGCGGACTCTCCCCACCCTCGGTCGTACCAGGGCATTTGGGGACCAGAAAATTATTCCACAAACAGATATACGAAATTACTTAGAATCAACCTGTAAAAACCACCTAACCAAAGGAAATCAACCGTCATAAAATAGATGGTTAAGAGAAGACTATCAGCTGAATACTTTCAACAGCACGATGTTTTACACTAACTTGAGAAGAATGACTACATAAGCATTTATAGTAAAAGCATGATCGACTCAATGTATTATATAATGCGTTTCTCCATTCTGAATATTCAAATAACCATTAAGAATAAAAGATATAACCACTTAGCTATATACCGTCGTTTCATCAATTTTTAATCTCCATTAGCAATAGAAGCTGACACATAAAGTCATCCTTATGGATACAGACTATCCAACTTTGTGAAATCTTATAAGGACCAAATGGATTTTTAAGAGTCCGCAAACTGTTCTTGGTTAGGTGTTAGTATTAGAGACTCTATTTGACTAGTTCACCAGTAAAATATAACAACACTAGCTTAAGGTTTGTTTCAAAATGAAGGGTCTAGGGTTAGGATTTATTAGTGTCGATTTTCCTGTTATATACAAAATCGAGCTCTTGATGCATTCAACACCACTGCCTTCACATTATGACAAAAAAATAATTTTTTCGTTATCATTTTAAACGTTTTGAGCAGTATACATAGGTGTTTCTACTGCTCATTAGACATGATAGTGAAATTCGGAGTAAAAATCTGATTGACTCGTCTCTAGAATATAGCACATTTAGCAGCTCATTCTTGAGTTTACAAACGATCTCTCATTAACGTTGCAATTTATAATAATACGTATCATATATTCCTCATTGATCTATAAGAGATTGATTATTATACAAGATTTCCCCAAATCACATAAAATTAAATTTTAGGTATAGACAGAGAGCTTATCTTTCTTTACCTTCAATCGATAAAAATGTCATTAGTGAACAATTAGTATGTTATTTTTACAATGACATTAGGTATATATAACCGAATATAAAGTGGATTTATGAAAACAAAAATAGGTCAAGGATATTTAAATACAAACCGGTCATACTCTAAAACGTTGAATAAAGTTAATTTTCTCCTTGAATCTTTCTACTTTTAAATAAAATCACTTACTTGACCCAATAATGAAGAACACAGTCGAGCTGAAAGGGATTTATATAATTGTTGTTGAACATCTTCAGGAAAATTCACAAGTTCACAATATCCACCGCGAAGACCACATCTGATTCGATAGAAATGAAATTATTTTAAAGATACTCGATGAATTAATCACTTATGTATTGCTTAACATGAATGTTTTTGCAAAAATATCTTTTAGACTTGTAATTTGGGTTACTAGGTGGTCAATTTTGCAAAATTAAATACTGCAATTGATCGGACTCGTTAGCCTAAATTAAATTAAAATTCATACGTCATGTGCTAGTGAATGGCTGTTTAGACTCAATAGCTAAATGGATAACACGTTTTAAGCAAAAAGCATTGGATTCGAGTCCTATAGTGCACATTAACAATGGGATGCAGAAACATGCGCCTAACGAGTCCCATATAGGACGAAACACACATCATGGATTCCATTACTTCTTCTGATTGACATGCTAGTCAATTTGAAAAATTGTTTTTTTTTATTCATGCGTCCAGATGATTTGTAGCGTCGAACGATTATCCAAAAAATAAGCCACTAAAATTTAATTATTATGGTGCATAGTGCAAGTGAATGTATTTATTCGATTTCTTCGATACCTTGTTTCGAAATGTAAGCTTAATAGGAGTTTTTTACCTAGTGGTTATTTTTACGACCATTTTCTGTTAAAAATTTTTCAAAATCAGTCTACGCTTTTTCCCCACATTTTAGAAGTTATGTTATTGGTTGTAAACCTGTTTTATGAGCGTTACCTAATTACTGCATATCAATACACTATTTTATAGATGAAAATCAACCAAATGAAGTGTAAAATGTACTACTTATGGTAATTTAAACGGAAAAACTGAGAAATATCGGAAATTATTGAAAAACTGACTATTAAAAACCACTCAAATCCTAAGGCATTGGAAAAATGCATAAAAAGAGTAATCCAGCCGCAGCTAATCTGTGTGTAAATAATCTCTATTTCTGTGTTAATACAGTAAGCGAATAGTACGCAAAAGCACTAAATAAACCAAAAAGAATATAGTGGGGTTCAAACTAGTGAAAATAAAGAACAAAATGTAAGAAGACAAAAAAATAAATACAAATTTCACAAAAATGAAATTCAATATTGTCATGCAGGAATCAATTCTTGTATGAAACAGAATTCTATAGCATGAAAGTTGATTTTATTTCAACGACATAATTGAATTTCATAATTTCTAAATAATATACAGAAATAAGTGTTTTATGTAAAGATCAAACTTGTCCAATGATTTTAGATGGTCAATATAATAAAAAAGCTTATAGAATTGTTTTATAATGCCTATTTTAAATAGAATGTTAAGACTAGAGAACAAAATCAGTTTATTCAATCCATGTGTATTGTTCGACTGTGAGTAAACAGTAGGTTACAATCATGTATATTGAATTATTGGAAAATAAACAAAATTTACGAGAAAAAAGTGAAGGGGAGAATAGGTATTCGTGAATATAAACTTAGTTCCTTATAATATGTAAACAAATAGGCAGGCTGATATTACTAACAGTTAGAGCTGATATTTGTACGGAAAAGTTTCCGTCAGTGATTGATAAACTGCAACACACACATTTTTGTATGTCATAAATTAATTATGTATTGTGCTAGATATTATTCGTTGTCAAAATTTTAGAGAATTCCTTATTACAATTTATAAACAAAGAAAACATTGTCTGTTTACCCTTTTTTCAGTAACTTCAGGGTTATAATTTGATTAAATATTTTATAATCTTTTACTGAAATAAGACAAATTCTTAAACATAGACTTCAATATTTATCCGTGTATGTGAAATTTAATAACAGAGAATGAGTGAAAAGATTTAATTGATTGTATTACTAAAATATATGGCAACATAAATAATCGTGGTGAGACTATTATTTATAGACGACTTTTGAGCGACGTTACAGTAACATTGAGAAAGTCCACCTATTTACTACGGTCAAGAGACCGTTATAAATTAGTGTGTGAAATTAGGATTAGGAATAACAGTTAGGGGTTTCAGCATCAGTTGACACTAACCATAATGCCAAAATGCTATTTAACCATATGGATGGATGAATTTCGTGCCAGAAACTGAGAATTGCTATCTTTACTTTCATTGGTTTGTTCACACATTACATTCTCACCACAACCTCATATGACGCATATTAAACAGATTGTTTTTAACCGTCAGTGTAATTTTATATCAAATCATTGAATTTTGTGTCCTCATTAGAAAATTGGTTAGTGGAAACCAGATATCGGTTAACAAAACCTGACTAGTGCACATATCCCAAGATGTGAACTGAAGCTTAAATATATAAGCGCCTACATCTCCAACTTCAAGGCATAGTGATACATGTTCAAGTTAAGGAGCAACATCGATTGCGGATTGTACAAAAGACACTGTATTCTAAACATGACATTTTTACTGGTTTTTATACATATATTAACCGTGGTCAAGCGCAAATACTTCATTATGTCATTATTGTTTTCTTGAACTATAAAAGGAGGAGTTACTGATATACATACCGGCTTACTGTTTTATAGAATCTTCATTGATAATAAACTACAAATCAATAATATTTAATAGTTTCGAATGATAAATCAGTCCAGTTATTCATAAACAACATGAAACCATCCTATCATCACATTATAGTACAACGAGACAAAATATACAAAATTTATAGAAAAGATTTATAGGTACAAGTAGCAGTGAAAAACTTAACAAACTAAGCACAGAAAATGTAGTTCAAAGAAAAACACACTACTCAATTTAGCTAATTCAGTTGACAACTGATCATATTTAGAAGCAAAAATATTTCAGTAAGTTGGTATATTCGATCGATACTCTTTAAAAAATAGACACTCGTAAAACTGTTGACCAACTAAAGGTTAAGGGATACAACTAGTAGGAGATGGGGGATTAGTATGCCTATATTAAAAGAAAACTTAACAAAGCCCACGTATTTGATCTATACATACAGATCCAGGTGTGAAACCAGTCTGATTTTTACAGGTTAGTTGTTTCTTAGTCGCATCTAAGCTGTGGATAATTATACAAGCTAATAATTTAGAAATTATATTAGTTAGACTGATTCCTCAGTACTTATCGTAAGAGGATTTTTATCCTATTTTTTATAAACTGGGACGATTATAGATTGAAACTAGTCAGATGGAATAACATATAGTAGTACACAATAAAACTGATATTATTTTACTAAGTAGTATTGATAAAGAAGGTAAACTATCAGATAACTAATTAATCTGTATTTATTATTATGATGATTAAAGATGTTTGATGATGACTTTGACAAGTTCTGGATTGGTCGTCGAGGGGATAACTGAGGACAACATTCCTAGTCTCTTATTCTAGAGACTGCAATTATGTATAGATATATACTTTCTTTCAGATAGTAACTGAGACTTATGAGGTCATTGGTTAACAGTAACACATGGATCTTACTATTTTCATCGTGAATATCTGAATGTATATCACATAAAATATGAGATTATTGTGTTATAGCTGTTAGTTCAGGAGCTATATTTAATATTTATTAAACGATGATACAGTAGTCAATTAACATCCAATGAAACTAAATGATGTGAAACTCTAGTCATAATTAATTGCATATGCTCTAAAAACAACTTACTCTCCCATATAGCCTTTACTACATGACATAAATGATGCTAACTGTAATTCATTGGAAATCCTTCCGCCAATATCATATAAAGCGCGTTTAAATGAGATGAATCCTGAATCTGGTGAATAAATATTATGTTGATAAACTTCATCGGCTAACACAACTAAATTATGTTTGTAAGCGAATTTTAAAACGTTTGTAATTGTGTCTTTTGATAGTAATTGACCTGTTGGATTGCCAGGATTGATTACTACCAAAGCACGTGGAATACATTTATCATTGCATTTTTTTAAAGCTTCTTCCAGCTGTTCAATACTTAGGTCCCATCCATTTGATTCATCCAAGTAGTAATCAATCTTAATGAGAAGAATAAACAGATTTTAAAACGATTTGATTAGAGTATGTGAATTTTTTGTAAGTATATGGCAGTGCATTGAAGCTATAAATTGAAGTTTTACTATTCTTATAGTTATTCGACTTTGGTTTTTACGACAAAAGTCAAAGAGCAAACATGAAGCTTTTTATTTATTATGACTAAGACTAGTATGGACAAGTTTGTCATATTGAAAACATGTTTAAAAATATAATCAGTCCCCGTTTAAATGGTCAGTAAATCCAGTTAGGAATTTCTAGAGAAATTACACTTACGTATTGCTGTCTTTCTGATGATAAACTCGATAGACTTATATTTTAATAAAGTACAGCTGCGTTTAGGTTAATGACATATATTCAACTGAAAAGGCTATGACTTCATATCTGGACCTATTTGATCTGACCAAAGTACTAATTGATCTGGTATGGACTAATAAGAACAGTGCATACATGGATCATTGAGTCATAGCACATAATCCACTTTTAGTGAGCGTTAACACTTTTTCTCCGGTCAAAAAATTCATACAGATTGATTGTCGCTTATGTGAAATATATTATCTAATCAAAAAGTAAGAATTTATTTTTGCACTGCAAGAAGCGCGTACCCTGGATTTCTTTGTTAGCCACCATCCATCTCTGCTTAGAAAGCGAGAATCATTTTTGAAGTTTTATTCTCTGAGTTGGATAGTAGAAATCACTTTGAGGGAACTGAAGAAGGAAAGGTCAAAAAATTGTTAATGATATGGTAAAAGTAACTCAGCAAAACCTTTTTTTATTAACAGGTCAGTTATACGTAACGTAGAATGTGTTACATGTGCGCATCGATTCGGTTTATCATACCATAATAGCACAGCAAAATGCAATTGTTGTAGTAAATCCAAGAGCAGCAAAGATAGTAATAATATTAGTTGTAATAGAAAAGTTTAGACATAGAAGATGGAATTCGAGAGGAAAATATAGATAAGTGGAATGAAAAAAGTTTTTGGAGTAGTTTTTACTCAGCTCCTATTACAGTGCAAGCTATCCTGTCATTGAGTTTTGAGCTTAGTGGAAATATACAAGAGCCATTATCTCAAATGTAATTGGTTCGTCAGAAAACGATAGTTTTACCTATCTGTACAGACACACGTGAAATATTTAATCTGAATAATAGAGTATAAAACTGTCATCAATGTTACTATGACTACGTTTACATGGTTTGCTGATCATGCACTGATAGGTGAACAAAAATATGATTCATGCATACTGCAATATCAAAGACGAATGTCAATAGTGGTCAATTAAATTTAAGAATAAAACCCTGCATTTTCAAAAAAAAATGTTATTGATATACAGATCGAAGTTTATTCATTATAAAAATGAGATAAAGTCAAGGTGCATAGATTGGTTTTATTTTTGTATTCAGTTTGCTCCACAACGCTTTTGTTACGGATCATTTGTAAATGTGGGTCAGCTTATGCCACAACATGCTCATGTGAATAGCTAGTTATGTACAAGAATTAGATGCTCACTAACAGTGATGGAACACTATCTTATTGACTGACAGAGTTAGGGTAAAAAAAACTCTATTTAAGAATAATAACAGTTGAAAAACTGTCACTAAGATATATTTAAGGGGATTACAACACATCATGTTCTGGAAGCTAAACTGAAAAGCAGTATTATTTAGGAAACTATCACACTGAATGATATGTTATAAACAGATTAATAAATATGGATTAGAGCCTCGAAATTAGTTTATCAATATAAATGTTGTTAATGGTGAACATATGTATTAATCGATCAGTTTACCTGATAGGCGTTATATTCAGCATTTGTTGCTGAATAAAGAGGATATTGAGGTATGGGGACCATAATACCAGAACGTTTGGATCCATCTTCTCCAGTGGATATCAATTGAAGAATTGACTAAAGGAAATATAAAGATTATATATATATATATATATATATATATTGCTTTTTAAACTTTCTATCGTTTATAATCATGACTTATAACCATATGACGGTACAGAAAACATTTACAGCACTGTATATATGAACTTCAATAGAATTATATTATCTTCATCGTTAGGTATTCACGTTAGGTATTCACGTGAGAGAAGCTAGGAACGAAAATTGTTAGACTTATTTTAATCTTAAAAAGAGCGAAATAAATCTGTTTTAACATTAAGCAACGAATAAAAATGTTCAAAAACGTAGAATATTTGAGCGAACAATTGTTTTCAATAACTTCATCATCAGGCTCTACAGTTATAAGTCCATAATTATAATATTTTACAAAGGCCAAAAATAAGGCATGTTTTAATGAGTTTGACAATGTTATGTGTTAAAAATGGTGAGCGTTTGCATCTGTTACGATATATATATATATATATATATATATATATATACTTCAAAAAATTGTAATATTTGCAAATTAGAAAGGTCATTCAATAAAGGTCAGTAAATTGTTCAGTCACAATAAGATAATATAATAGTACTATTGAAAATTGAAGATAATTTTGTCAACTGAGATAATAATAATAATATTGTTGTGTGAATATAATATGTAATAAGGGGGGTGGGTGTTATCAAGGTAATTACGGTCAACAAATTGGGAATGATGGATATGAAGATTAAGATATAGATAATGACAAATAATGATAATACGGAAAATAAATAAAATGAAGGAAGGAAGGGGTAAGAGGTTTATAATATTCAGTTTAGGTATTTGGTGATCCAGTCGTAGGCCAGGGTAAACATAAAGGCTGGATATATTTTTTCTGGATGCATAAATTAGGTCTTCTGGAGTTGATCCAGATGGCTTCGGCTGTGAAAAGTAGTCGTAATCTAGCTCCTTGAGGTAGATATTTTGGAACTTGATATAAAACAGAGAAAGCTTCCTCTATTTTAATATGATGTTCACTATCTACCAAGTGAGAAAGAATGGTGCTGTTAATCGATTTGGTGACTCCTTTTCCCAACCATGCTGGTACATGTTCACGAACACGCAAGGATAAAGCCCTCTGAGTACGGCCTATGTAACTAGCTCCACAGGAGCAGTTGAATTGGTATACACACATGGAGGAGCCCATCTTCGGTAACTTATCCTTGATTAGTTGTGTGAGTACTGGCTTAGTCGAGAAAAAATGTATTGAAGAATTTACAAATTATTGAACCTACCAGTTTCCACATGTTTGTAGTGAGATTTTAATTTAAGAATCGGTATAAGACAGATTCATCCCACTCTCATACATTATGTGAAAAACAGTTAGTTTATAATCTTCATAAATTATTGTGTTAAGCAATAAAATATTTTAAACTAGCTTCAACTATGGATTTATAAGATAAACAACCAATGATTAAATAAACAGTTGATGAAGCCTCTGGTAGTAATCATTTTACACAACACCACAAGAATTTTCAAAATAGGAACACAATAATAAAATGAGAATTCAGCAAAGAAAATTTTCTTTTCGACGAAATCACTTGCTCAAGCTGTACATTCGTAAATATAGTTATGTGGAAAATATATGTCTATAGGAGGATAGAAAAGATTGCATCACAAAAATTGAATTGGAGAATAAATAGCAAATGAGGTTACGTACTAATCAAGGGGTAAGGAAGAAAATAACTTATGGGTCCAATTGATAGATATGAAGAAAAGCGATAAACACAAAGGTCAGAATAATAGACTGAATAATAATCAAGAAAACTTGCATAAGGTAGTAATAATAACTCATAACTCAAAAGAAGAGTCCTTTGGAGCGATGTGTCCACAGCTAATTAAATGCTCCTGTATCTAACTGGTAATCGTTTTACATCCTCCTTTTAAGAGCCAAGCCGGATGGTGTTCCGTGATGCGTTTGGAAAGTGATCGCTTTGTTCGGCCTATGTAACGTGCCCCACATGATTAAGTAAATTTATAGATACACATTGATATGACCCAAAGCGGAAGTTTATCCTAAACACATCCCAAATGGTAGGTCGGTTAGACAAAACAATTCGGAGCTTAGCTGCGTAGAATGTTTTATTTAACGATTTTGAAACCCGTTTATTTAAGATTTTAGCAGCCGTATCTCCTTTAAATTCCATGTTCATAAACAGAGTTTTCTTCTGTACTGTCAATGCTTTTTTCTGATGAAGTCTAGGTGTTAAGTTGCTATCGACGAATCTTGGTGGATAACCATTTCTAATGAGAGTTTGTTGAAGTTGAGATAGTTCCCCATCTATTGTGTCATCGGAACAACACAACGACTTTTGGCTTCCCCTCATGAGGTGAAACAACCAGTGATTAACACCAGTCAGGCGGAAGTACGTTCCACTCCAAATTTCTAACTAATACTCGTCAGTTTAATCAGTAATGACGCTCAAAAGCTGGAAGTATAATATCAGTGTTTTCTATTATTGATTATGTCTAAGACAGTTACGGATTTTCCAACTTAGATGAGACTGAGAGGCTAGATATAATTATTCAAGTAAGGTAACTGGTGTGTAGCTGAATGCCAGTTAACTCGTTCGTACAAAGTGTTCTTTGCGCTGCGTGAGTATCCTGTTTTAAAGTGGATCACTGGGAAAGTTTCGCTATGTACAGGTTTACTAATTACTGATATCGGAAGCTTAGTCTTCTTGTATAGCTAATACAATTGTTTGGGTATCTTTTCTCTCTTGAAGTTTGGTCTTTATCATGAATATTACTGGACGTAAACTTCCAGCTTTCGGATGATAAAAGTTGCGGAATAATGATGAAAATTTCGAGTTCATGACTTGTAAGTTTCTGATGAACGGAAGTGGATAATCAATGCTAGATCTACAGACCCTAGAACACTTGAAGTAGAACTTCCTCTAGTTGTAGTTAAAGAAGGTTTCAACAAATTGATTACTGTATCTCATAAGTGCCTAAACTAGTTACTGCTTCCAAACGTTTCGCTCCCACGACCAAGAAAACCTTAGGAATTTTGTTTCTGACGATTTTAGTGTACTAAATCGTCGTCTTGATCAAATATGCTTCAAGAACCCATATGAATTCGGTCGCATCCATATTATTACTTTTGAAACAAGTGAGTCGAATCCAGACAATGCAGAATATACCTCCAATATGGATTCGAATATACGTTTAACGAGCTTACAGAAAACCAGAAAGGAAGACAAAAGTCCTGACTTTATTTTAATCTTTGGATATCTTATCATAATCGATGAATACTTTAAACATTTTCACATTTCTTTATCAATATTTAATAAAGCCAATTCATATGTATTTACATTCTTCTCCTGTCTTCACGTACTGGTTTGTTCGCGATTCACAAAGTAGGTTTTGAACAAGCCAGAGAAATTCTACTTTATTAAATACAACTATATTGTTCCCTTAAAGCTACAAATTGTGTTGGGTTTTCCTTGTTCGAGTACAAGTTCCAATTTCAGAGAGCAAACTATACTGTAATAAGTCTGCGGCTATCTTAACCGTACGACTCAATGATTTCATTAAGTGGAAATATAAATTCTTGTGCACATGAATACCAAACCGGTAATTAACAAACAATAAAAGTAATCATACTTACTTTAACGGCTTCACTTGCCCCATTGGATAAGAAAATATTTTGAGGATTAGCTGATAACTGATCCCGTTGTTCTATGTATTGTGAAACATCTTCGCGGACAACTTCTACGCCTGTAGACTGGCTGTAGACTCCTATGATATGATAAATTAATTATACGTCAATAGGCAATAAAGTTATTAGGCATCTGTTAGTCTGCACTTTGTTAACAACAAATCATAAAGCTTAACGGTATTTTAATTTTAACTACCAAACATCCACAACAGTATTATTTTGGTCTACAACTGAAACCATAATATTTTCAATTTCAAAAATGAACTATTAGTAAATTAAACATAATACGACTTTAAGACGACTAAACAATTATAATTTGAGTTATTGATCAGAGAATGTATCGTAAATTAGTCACAGCTGTGACGGAGTATTTACGTATTTGACTTCCGTTTATTTAAAACTCTTTCGTATTTTACACTATCATGCTTCATTAGTGAATTGTAATCTGCAACAATATAGTAAGTCATGTTGACCTTAGCTGATTTACACTTAGCTTGTTAGATTTTGAATATAAGTGGGAATAAACTAATGTGGCGTGTCTGTAAATTCAGCAAACCTACAGAAGTTGCAAAGCAAAATAGACCAATGTCTGAAAGTGAAATTTATCACGAAATAACTTAAGCAGAACAACTACTTAAAAACAAGCGTCACAAAGAAACTGGTCCATATTACCATGTATCTTTAGCAAAAGGAACATACGAGCATGAAGACTTACATCTTCAAGTTTGAAGATATTGGTTAACTTGCTAGGATATTGATGTTCAACACAGTAGTTAACATTTCTTTGTATGACCAACCATTTGATGAACCTGAAACTGAAATTCTTCCTAAAAATTATTCACTGGGTTCCTATTAAGTTTTAAATGTATTGTCGCCCCAGGTCAATATTCTTACTTACCCATGTCATTTAGTTATTTTCAAAATCTCTTGCGGTTAACTTCATCTGTTGTCTCAAAAGGTAAAAACTCTAACTTGTTGAATATTGCATGAAGGGGTATTACTTTGTTTGTTGATGAATACTTATAGAATTCCCAATTCAAGTAAAAATTACAATGAAATCACCGAAAGGAACTGTTACAATGGTAAACAACCCACAAAAAGCAGTTTAAAATAGTAATTATTTATAATATTTCTTGGTATGCCTGTCCATAAAATAGATAGTCAACTTGGCAATCAACCTCGTTTACGTTTGCGAGTAATCGATAGTAGTATTTCCCTGATATTTTCCCCTTACTTGCCAGTTACCTGTTGGTTTGACGCAAATTATCTGTACATAATGTTTCGGAAAACTTGACATCATTGTCGTTCGATACTAACGTGTCGCTCACTTTCACTAGGATAGGTCTAATCATGAGTTTTAGTGTTTTGAATTATTAAAGGCATATTACCAGACAAATAAGTGTAGTGAAAATGAATGGCGGTACTAACTTGGTATATCTAGCGTTATATCGAAAAAATTAAACGAAGTCACATAATGATGCTTAACACGAAGCATACGTCAGGACTTCGCAGAAATACCCACTCTATTAGATAGAAAATGAAATCGCTGAACGAGCCAGTTGATTCAAATTAGGACTAGTATTAGTTTGATTAATTTTATTAATATACACACAGTTGACGGACTAAATTAATTTCCAAGGGACTCCCGGATGTTATTAGTGAAGCAAGGGGAACGGGAACCGTTAGACTAGTAACCAACAACATTCGATTAAACATTTTAAGCGAATGAGATAACGTTAACATACGTCATATAAAATCACACTTAGAATAATTGATATGGTTTGGTAAAAAAATCATGAGTTTATTCAAATGACTTACCAACACTTCCACCACAACTGTCCAGAAATCTCCTGGCTCTTAATTTAGCATCCTCTTGAACTAAGTTGCTATCCATAATATGCGGATTTGTCGCGGCACACAAAACTTCACGAATAAATGAGATGGGCCTTTGACCAGACGCATGACAGTCCCCGATATTGCAACGGATAAGTTTGTTGAATTTTCTTTTTGACCCCTGATTATAATTAATAGCTAAAATGATCTAACTTGGGATATTTCTCTCTCTAATTCTAGCGCCCTAATTACTATCGGTCCACGGACAGCATACTGAAGCTTCACCACATGAGGATTTATTGTATCACAGCTCATTTTTTGATATCCACGAACAGTAAGATTGGTGCACGAGCGACCCATAATCTTCAACCAGCGAAATCCACACATCATTTCTTGAAGTCTTTGAAAATTTGCTGTTTGCGACCTTGGAATTCAAAAAACTAAACAATGGACACTATATTGTGAAGCATTTTAGAGAATCAACATATCTGTTAACGAATTATTACTGTCTAGTCTTTATTTATCGCGAACTAGTCAATGTAATGATTTATCTTTGCGATACAATGTGTCTTATGTAACGTTACTAGGGAGTGACTCGACAAATTAGAACGCAGTGCAACTAAATGTATTCCTGGGAGCAACAAGATATTGGGAAAATGAATAGTTTTAACGTATTGTATCCAGTAACAGGAAAAAACAGAAATCCACAAAAGTAAGTTGTAAATAATCCGCTACTACGTAATGGAACTCGTATGAAATACATTACGAATAAGTGATGTGTAATCTTAGACGAGTTCAACTGCATATTTGGTTGTAAACAGGAAACTGAATGTTCTTACAGATGTACGACTTCATTTTAAGCAGTTCCTAGAAGCGAATTGGTGTACACCTCTGCCATCCCCCCAATTTCGCTTTTCGTTTCGTTTCACAAGGGTATTCAGTGATCTTGTCTGTAATTCCGATTCCACTTTAAGGGCTGAAATGTAGGACTTATCAAAGCCTGTTTTCGTCCCATAATTGATATACAGATGTATCTCACTTTGTTGCTTTGATTCAATATTCCATCCTAATGATCCTCCCGACAAACAATAGTCACTTACCATGTTTGTATGGGCAGGAGTAAGAACTTTCCTTTCACACAAGCCAAAGTTCAGTTGCCATGTTCCAGAACGTCAAATGAGCTTGAGTATATGTATTTCATTGTAAGTGTTGTCTGCCAAAATACTCCACGGTCAAGCATATGCTAATTTGAGTAATGAGTTCAGCTTATTCTTGACTAAGAAACAGACAATAGAACGTATCGTTTGGTCACTATGCCTTGCGTTTTATCGTACACTTTAGCCAAATTTGCTTCGGTCATTTCTCAGATAAGGACTTCGCCTATGAATTGGTGCTCGGATAACATAGCAATCATTGTTTTAGTATTGGCTACAGTGAAAATGAATAGTTTATCAACATAAACTTCAGGTTGCACAATCCTTTAGCAGCCTCTATTGTATTCGTTAACACAAATGCGAATATACGCATGACAGACCTTGATCACTAGCTATGAGCTCATCGTCTGTTCTGCAGTACATTTTCCTATCTGTAATGTTTTCTTCGCTGCACTTTAGTCTCCGACAGTTGACTGATGAATTATTCAAATATTCGTTTAGCGAGGCTTATAAGTATTTTTTAACAGTAAGCTCAATCACCCTCAATACCAAAATATTATTTCTAAATGTGCACAGCGGGTAAGACCAATAGGCACTCACTTTAATTCTGCTACCTTCTTTCGACAAGTATATCAACTGTTGTGAGCGTCGCATTCCAAGTAATTCTCACCAGATGTTTTTAAAACTTGATTGTCATCTTCGTGATTTAATAATTTCAAAACATTAATTAGATAGTCATTGTTTGTAATGAACTGATTCATACTGCACTACATGATGTCCACTACGTTAATAAATCCTAAATTCAATGTGAGAATGACGTAGAATATTATCTATGTGCAGACATAATATAAATATGCATTTTTGAATACCAAGTGTCATAATCGCTGCACTGCATTCCATCTTCAAGAACCGGGCTCATGTTTCGCATACTTAAAATCAAAATGCAATAAAAACTTCAAGTCGCAAACATATAGAAAAACCAGGTGTTTGTACGAAATTGTTAGAAACATTCGGATGATACAAATGGTTCTGCACGGGACAGAAGTTTTCGCTTAATCAGCCTCTATATCTAGTTGCAGTGGATCACCGATGCCTCCAGATAGAAACCTAAGTATGTTTAACGGTGAAAAGAGAAATATTAGTAAATTGTATATTCAAAGATGTGATATTATTCGTGGAACGATAATCTCCCGTTAATGCACGAAGCGTAAACAGATTAAACAGGGCACAAAATGACTTTGTCAAATTTTTACTAAAATGAATGTGCTATATTGAAACTAGATAAATATAGTGGAATACTTTCACTAGTTTTAAAGCATTAACGTGAACTCTTGCAAGTCCTTCGTATTATTTTTCTTTCAGAGATAGCACCAAATCATAAACTCCGCACCTGGTTGTTCGCTGAATGGAAAAGGATTATTTTCTACTTCAGCATTTAACTTTAGTGTAGACAAAGTTCTTACTTCTTATTTAGTATACTAACTAGTAAATTCCTAGACTACATAACGCGTAATTTGTTGGTCATGAATGAACCAACAGTCAAGTCAGAATTAAAGCAAAGGCTTTACCAGCAAAAATCCCAGTATTTTTTCCGAACGTACAAAATGACCTGACCAAATGAAGACTTACTGAAATATAACAAGCTACTATGTTCTTCTTTGTAGTGTCTAAAGCCCCGTCAAGTCATCCACATCCACTGATAACATCAAAAAACATATTCAGCGCGTAGTTTGTTTTATGCTATTATTTTATCAAGAGAATATAAAGAAATCGCAAAATATCCCGACAATGCAGTCAACCTAGTATATTGCAAAAGTTTCTTTGATGCAACGTAGCTTCCTATACAAAGGAAAGTGGCTAACAAATACATTTGTTTAGCGCTTGATAGTGAGCAAGAATATTTCCATCAAAATAGGATCAAATCGACGTCTACAAGAATCAGACAAACTAACAAATACTGCTGGCAGAAAACCAAAAAGCGACAGTGGTCTCTGTTTTTTCTCTTTAACTTTTAGTTCAATCATAACCTTGGTTGTCAGCGCTCCGAGATCACAAAATAACAGAAGGAAATAATAAGAGCAAAACTAAATAGTGGTGACGAAGACTGGAAGATATGAAAGTTTAATGTATGCGAAACATGGGACAATATTTAAAGAAACAAATACTCTCATATAAAGCATTTTGTAGGTTTTTTCGGAGCAGCCACTCTGTTACATTAACCACACTTGGATGTTTCTGGTTTTTAAATGTAGATCAGACGAGGAATAGTGGACAAAGTGATTGTGATGAGACTATAATTTATGGAGGACCTGTAGCGTGGAGTCGAGTCCCAGGTGACTATGAACACCGTTACCAATAAGCTCGTGCCAAAATATCCACAAAATCCCCCGGAAGCCAAATATCAGAAGGCAGTTAATGAAACAAGTCGAGAAAAAGGGAAGAGTGTAGCATGCGTAATATAGGAATAATCCTACACCGTATCGGTTGTTGACTGTGCGACTAGTCGCGGAGGCGTACGGGCAATCGTACTCGGCGACCGGAACGTGAGACGGCAGTCTCGTTCGCGTCGTGTGAGCCTGCAATCTCACCCGAAGTCAAGGACGGCGTGGTCTGCTGATCTGGATGTGAGACTGTCGTCTCGTCCGTAGATGGTGCACATGACGCGTGCTGTTGACTGGGACGTGAGAATGAGGTCTCAGGTGTATCTAGCGTGGGACCTGAAGATGGTTTGAGGATCCCGCTACTAGGTTCGATAGGTCTAGCGTTGAATCTCAGGTTCTCTGATAGAGCACTGTCATGGACGTTTGCTGGTTTGAGACGATCAATTCTGTCGATCTCGACGCGGCCATGTCAACCAACCTTGAAGGTCATTTCATGACGGGAGACCACGTGAGAAGGTCCTTCGTAAGGCTGTTGCAAAGGTTTGTGTATCGAATTTATTCGTATGAAAACGTGTGAACAGGTAGATAACTCTCGAGGGAGAGCGACCTGTCGATGTTGTATTCGAGTTGACACCGGAGGCAGCGTTCGCATCAATGCTGACAATCGATGGACGTAGTCTGATTTACCGAAATTGGGTCTGCTCCGTGGTGTGAAGAATTCCCCAGGTAGACGCAATGCCATGCTGTATACAGGTTCAGCGGCGGAACATTGGATATCTGCCTTCAAGCTCGTTCTGATGCCTAAGAGAACGAGCGGTAAGGTGTCGTACCAGTTGTCGTTTTCGTGTGCTCGAAGAGCACTTTTAAGATGACGGTGAAACCTTTCAACTAAACCATTAGAAGCTGGATGGTTGGCGGTAGTGCGTATGCGTTCCGTACCAAGCAGCCGAGTAAGTGATGAGAATAATGCAGACTCAAATTGTTGTCCTCGGTCAGTCGTGACAGTCGAGGGACAACCATATAGTGCTATCCCTCGTTCTACGAAGCGATGAGCAACTGTCTTCGCCGTGATAGACGTGATGGGTATAGCTTCGGGCCATCTGGTGAAGCGGTCGATGCACGTGAGTATGTGATCATACCCGTGCGATGGTGGCAGTGGTCCTACAATGTCTAAGTGAACGTGATCGAAGCGAGCATCAGACGTAGCGAATGTACCGAGGGGGGCAGCTACGTGCCTGTGCACTTTTGATCGTTGACATTGTAAGCATTGCTTAGCCCACATACGAACATCTTTATTCATGGACGGCCAGACGTATCGTGCAGCGATGAGGCGTAATGTAGCTGCGATACCTGGGTGAGATAATCCATGCAGGGCATCGAATACGAGACGGCGATAAGCAGAGGGTACGATGGGTCGAGGAAGACCGGTAGAAGTATCGCATAGGATGATGCCAGAAGTCGTGGCTAGAGATAATTCTTGATACTGAAGGGACGTAGAGTGTGGTGCTTTTGTACAACTGAGATCGTTTGCTTGGGCGGCGGCCACAGCAGGAAGATCGAGCAGCGGCAGAGTAACTGCATTCGTTTGGATTCGTGATAGATCATCGGCAACACAGTTCGACTTGCCTTTGGTGTGACGAAGGTCTGTCGTGAACTGGGAGATATAGTCCAAATGTTTGCACTCTCATGGTGAGTAGCGGTCAGACTTGGTATGCAAAGCATACGTTAAGGGCTTATGGTCGGTGAATAAGATGAATTGACGTCCTTCTACTGCGTGCCGGAAATGTTTGATGGCGCAGTAGGCTGCTAGCAGCTCGCGACCAAAAGCGC